CAATACTCTACATTCATGTCCCTCACAACCTCCTGAGACACAATGATAAAAATTCCGTCACAGTCGATGGGTGTATACCATGCCCGCCCGGCCGCCGCTGCTTCAGCGGCCGGCATACCCGAGCGGACCTGGACGTGGCACACCCACTGGTTTCACAATTATACGCTAAATTCAATCCTGACAATCAATGGTCGTCCCATAGATGACCGATAACAAAATCTCTCAGGATTAGATAAGTCAACAAGAGTTATTAACAAGTGGTTCCTAACTTATGATCAATACAGTAATCATAAAGTATACGCTAGGCTAGCAAGGGAGACAAGTATCACAAGAATCGGAGATTAAATATCCCACTCCCCTTTGCGTGGATCCGGTAGGGTGGTTCTGTAGGAACCGAGCCTAGACGTACCGATGAGAGAAGGACACTCTGGTACACAGAGTCTGAGTGACACTCAGTGAGTGTGCCGATAGTGCGTGCGTCACGCACGGTGCGTGTCTGCACCCTCTTCGGTACTAAAAGTGGCACTTGTGTACAACAATTCCTCACAAAATCCACGGCAATCGTTAGAAATCACTCAAGCAGCACGTGCATGAATAAACTAATATCATTTAGAATGAACTCTACTGCCACTGCTTTTGGAAGATGCCTGTGATTGCCGCCTGCCATTGCTTGAAGACTGCTCTTGAATAGCTCTCAATATCAGCGGCCTCGGACTCGCCGCCCCATGTTCCTTTGCGAGGATGCGTACACGACTAACAAGTTGATTTTGATATGACGATTTCGAATTTGCAAGCCACATTGACGCCGTCACAATTTATTAAATAAGTAGGTAGTGTAGTAGTAATTGTGATACTAGAGTAATAATAACTAATGCTTTCCCTATGTAAGAATCCTCAGCCTTTGCTGAACAGTGTCATCGAGATGGGAACAAGAAGTGCACATCGATGAAGGTATCGACTTGATGACGCATGGATTGGAGAAATTCGGTTTGGAGTTGCCTGATCAAGTGCCCTCAACAGTGACGACGAAGCAGTTGCTGTGCAGTACTGATATCGATCTATGTATTACTTGTCGTGGAATTCGACGTGTTCTGGACGGCGTGGTATCGTGTTGTCTATCAAAAGGCGCTGAGATCACCGCTTGTTGATCAATTCACATTGTTATCCATGCGCAGTAGTAGCGCGGTTAGTTGTAGTAGTCGGTTTGTTCCTTGGTTGGACACCGCCGCAAGCCAAAGTCTCACCAACACAGTTAGGACCAGTGGGCTCGAAGCCAATCGATCCATCATTCCTCTTAATCAAACCGAAACAGACGGAGGGAGCTTCCCAGTACTTGCAGTAAGAGCCGTATTTCGAGTCCGCACATCCACTCACATCAGAACACATCTCAGTGGACGGGTCCTCAGTGGCCATCACAGAGGAGACGACCGGGACAAAAATCAAAAAGGAAACAATGAAGGAACGCACACTAAAAGTCAGAAAAATATTCAACTGAGAGAAAAAAAAATTATAACCAAATCATCGACTACTTCACAACAGGCGAGTAAAGACGATGATGCCATTTTAGCTTTGTGTGGCAGAAAAGATATGAAAGACTCCTTGTGAGTTCCATTGTCTACTGATAGAACACTCTAGTACCGATTGTGACACCGAAGAGGAGGATATTTGCGTGGGAAGATTCGTTTTTAAGCTGCGTAGAGCTGTGGGAAATATATCAGCTGTTTACATTGGTATTCGTATTATTGTACAGTATTTGGTTGTTCGTAGGATTTACAATTTTCCAAACTCTTTATTATAATGTCATCTACTACTACTTGTAAGAATACTATGAAAGTGACTTTAATCGGTGCTTCCGGTGCCATTGGTATGCCTCTTTCATTGTTGTTGAAGTTGAACCCTCTGATCACGGAGTTGGCTCTTTATGATGTCCATCAGGCTCGTATACCCGTTCCTGGTATTGCTGCTGATAATTCTCATATCAACACTCCGGCTAAGGTGAGAGGATATGTCGATGCTGAGCATCTCCCTGAGGCTGTCACTGGAAGCAACGTCATCATTGTATGTGCTGGTATTGCTCAAAAACCCGGTATGTCTCGTGAGGATCTCTTTGGTGTTGATGCCGGTATAATGCGTGACATCGCAACAACTTGTGCTAAATATGCCCCGAATGCTATGATGTGCATCATGTCGAATCCCGAGACTTCACTCGTTCCTCTCACTGCTGAGATCTATAAGAAGGCCGGAGTCTATGACCGTAAGAAGCTCCTCGGCATCACAACTCTCGATGTGACTCGTGCTCGAACCTTCTATGCAGAAGCTACTGGTCTTGATGTTGAGAAGGTTCATGTTCCTGTTGTCGGTGGTCACGGTGGCTGTGCTATTCTTGCTCTCTTCTCCCATGCTACACCTTTTGTAAAGTTGGATGAGAACACCATCAAGGCTTTGGATGAACATGTCCAGACTGCTGTCACTGAAGTCGTCGATGCTCTCGCTGGTGCAGGTTCGGCCTCTCTGTCTATGGCATACTCTGCTGCTCAGTTCATCGATACTGTCATCCGTGGTTTACAACAACAAGGAGGAGACTACCAGCAACAGAAGAAGGCCACGCCGTCTGCCTGCGCCTACGTCAACTGGCCTTATCAAGGGTGTGAGTTCTTCGCCCAGGTTACCAAATTTGGTCCCGAGGGTATCGAAGGTGTACAGCCGATCGACAACTTAAGTCCATTTGAAGAAAAGAGGATGGTCGAAACTGTCAATAAGGTGAAGGGAGATGTGGAGAAAGGTATGGCTTACGTTGAAGCCCACCAGAATTGAGCTGCATTATGTTCAGCAAGAAGCGATAACAATTTTGGAGATGTTATTTCGTCATACCACACTTCAACTTTGTCAGAATCACTGGGCCTCTCTAGTCATCTTGTTCTCATCGAAAGAAGCGCAATGATATTCCGTTGCATATAATTTGATGTATGAAAGACCCGATTTAGTATTACAGTAATACTCCAGTCTTAATTATGATATGTATTGAGTTTGAGTCATCTAAATATAGGCAATTTCGAGTGCCCATTGGTGTTCATTTCGATGTGTCTAGAACCGGTCGGATTATTGAACCAATTCGATCTAAATGCTCGAGTACGACTATTATCCGATTTCAAGTGATGAGTTTCTCCCAAGTCAATGCGCAGTAGAGTTCGACGCCAGTGAAGCTAGAATGGTATTGTTGTGTTATTAAGGACGTGGAGAGAACCAAACCGTACTCGCCGAAATTACGAGGAGATATGACGGGTCTATAACTTAGGAACTGCTCCTTGAGGTGTACCTTAAAAGTAGGAATTCCTTACGCTCCTTACTCAAGGAGCGCCTCCTTATAACTTTTCAGTTTTAAGGACCGTAAGGAGTTCCTACTTTTAAGGTACGCCCAAAGGAGCTCAAGGACTTGCTCCTAACCGAAAAAAGCGGAGCGATACGGCGCCCTCTCCAATCACGAACCTAACCTGACGACTACGATTTACAACTTTGTAACAAATTTGGAAACTTGGAAATATGGAGCTATCGAGAGCCTCCGGAGTTGTACATAGTTGTTCACCATAATAGAATTCTAGCTTGTTGAGTTAGTGTAGCGGTTAATACGTTGTGTCCGTGGGCGGGAGGTCGTGAGAACCATCCCTAGGAGGCGCAGTTCAAAGATCTGTTATAATCCTGCTATGGTCGATCTGTAGTGTAGACAGTCGGAAGATCGCAGGATCGATCCATCGGAGGCACAATTATACATTGGGTTAGAATGTTGACGTGGTTAATATGTCGTGTTGGCAGGCGGAAGGTAGCAGGATCGATCCCTGGTTGCCGAAATTCTCTGTTTTGGCCTCGTAAGCCAGGCGTAAGCTGAGTCCGACCAACCTAACGCAGCCTCCTTCCTTAAGGATCTTACGTAAGATCCTTAGCCTCCTAATTTTAAGGAATCCTTACGCTCCTTAGCCTCCTAAGTTATAAGGAGGCCCTCCTGCCTTCAGGATCTTACGCTCGGAGCATAGTTCTTCCTTAAGAAAGGCTTTCTAAGTTATAAGGCCAATAATGATGATGACCGCAGAGCCAACAGACCAAAGGGAGTAAGACCATTCTTTCGCAGCCACACTCCACATCACACTGACTCAATAACGCAAAACACAACGACAGTTTCAAGCGATTAACAATAATATCAGCAGACTAGTATTTAATACTTGTATTTGGTACCTATGCATTTGATATCGCCACACAGATTGTGAACTGATGAGCCCTACTGTAATCCTTCGGTGATACGACTAAACCCCGACCCTTGCGGGCTCCTCTGTAAATGACTTCGAGGATGTCTATGAACTCCTGAGCGAAGCGATTTAATGCGGCACAATGAAGAAACGGCAATCTAACCTGCTTGTTGTTCATAGGCCAATTGATCTTGTTGTTGTTGCCCGTACCCAAGTCAATCATCATATGCTTATTCCTATCATAAAAACAAACTTATCTTTCAAATCAGTAATATTCGATACACACCATGTTAGAGAGCAGATACTGTTATCAGGGCTCGATTGAAATCAAAAGCCACAACAACAAAAAACTTCCTTTGTAACAAAATAAATATCACCATGCATGGTCAGAATTTATACTCATTTTCCTCGGCTGGGCTCAGGAGTTTTCTCGCTACATTATGTGAATTTATTCGCGACTTGGGGTACCAAAATTCCCAGAGATTTCTCATTGCCATCAGCACACACAGTTGACTATGTGCATATTCTCCTACAAGTGCTCCAACTGATGTAATTTTAAGGAGATAAAGTCTTTGGTCCATCGAATTTGTGGTGGAAACTACGCAATGAGAATGTTCAATCATAGCCCCTAAACCTTCGTAGAAGAGTTTCGTTGGGAAATTTGAAATGCCGAATGTGGGATTCGATCCTTCGATACGAATGAATTAATACTCACCGATAGAAGAACATAACTGTAACAGGATCATACAGCTCATACATTGTGTTGAAGTCGGGTACCTCTCTAGTATCAACCTAAAATGACACCTGTGGGATTCGAACCCGAGACCTTCTCATCCTCCCACCAAGTATATCGCCGCAAAGTTCTTAACATCCTCTGCACAGTTATACAACACCTCATCCATTTGCATGCATTGTGGGTCGTAATCATGGCCGAACCTAAAGCAACGAGAAACAGTTCGAATTCCCATAATTGCGCACAGAGAAGATTTTCGATTCCACCGATGTCCGCCAGTTTCGACTGTCGATACAAGTTGTATCATACAACTACATAATTAACAAGCCATTCTCCAAACTGATGTTTGTGTGAAGACAAGTTTCCAATTTCCGGAGTTGTTCGAACGTCATCATTGGCACTTTAGCATTATTATGTAATTATGGAAATCTCTATGGTGAACCAAACCGGTACTGTGGAAAGTCGATTTTTATTATCATCAACATAATAACAATTTGAATCGATTCACCAGCGTTTACTAGTCTATAGTCGTACTCTCAATTCGAAAATCAAAAGTTTTATAACCGAATATTCAAAGTAACAGCAGCAGTTTGCATTTAATTCGCAAACTATGTACATGAACCCTACCGAATACAAACTAATCGTTCCTCCTCCCCTAAGATGGCTTGGTCCACAGCCCAGCCAGAATGCAGATGAGGAAGCATATACGCCATAGTGGGAAAATAGGTAAATTCAATAACACTGCGTGCCAAGCACTCTCCATGATATGCAGTAGGTCAGAATTTCTCAATCCTAATTCAATCAAATCCTTGGAATTCAAACTCGGTGAAGTGATATAACTTCAAATTCGATACGAAATGTTGCGGTGAAAACCCCCATAACAATTTGCAAACAGGATTCTGATCCACCAGTGCTGACTTATACGATGAAAATAAATCCGTCTAATATCGACTATACCAAAATCGATCTTTTCCATGGCTGAAACATGGAGGGACACCTTTGCGAGAGCTCTTCTCCCTGTTGATGCATAGCACTAGATTAGGCACAAATTTACAGTAAAAGTAAGTATTATAAGGCGCGATTCTAACACATGTATGCTGAGAATTTGTGAATAAGATTTAATCAGCGTTATAGCATGTGACATGTCAGGGCTACGTCTAGTCTCCTGGGTTGACACGAAATCATTGATCATAGGGAAATGATGAGCGAAGACTGCTGCTCGGGACATCAGCATGGAAGAGGTTAATAGCCTCACAAATACTGTAGACAAGCGACTAGAGAAGCTTCAACTATCACGCAGTGGCCATATAAAGGCATGAAAGACAACATGTTGCTACTACTAGTTCCTAACTCGGAAATTCGGATTGCGTTGACTATCGAACTTGGACAGCGCGTCGAGGACTAATATGCGTGGCTCGCCCCAACTCTGTAACGGTTCACGATCGATAATGATTATACATATGAATATATTGCTCACTTATAGGCTTCGAAACGTTCGAGCTTTCAGATTCCTAATCCTCGAATTAGCGAAGTTACAACATTTTTTCGTTTCAGACTATCAAAATCGAACACACTGTACAAACCTATCCCGGCCGACTCTGTGGTGGAGGTATGTCACCTGTCATAGAACCTGATAGAAAAATCGTAAAATACTATACTGATGTTACTATCTCACTTCATAGGGCATTAAAGAGAGTATAGCCCAATCTGTCAATGTTACAACTGCTGAAGTGAAACTGTGACTTGAATCTGGCATGCTTCATTACACCAAAATGCAAGGATCTATGCAAAACTACTGAGGACAGAGCGAAGAATTATAACAACAATTACACTGCGACCTACTTACAACCACTAAGGACGATCTATACTGTACTATGTAAGGAAGTAAACACATGGTGAACTACACACATGAACGAATTTCACTGGAGCTTTCCACAAGCTCGAGCGATATTACAATGAAAACACTCGGTGAAAAACGCGATATTCATACATGTTTCCCACCAGTATTTCTCGTAACATGGCCCGTAAAACTCCATTGTTGGTTAAGTAACTTCCATATAATCGTATACTAGTATTGAACGCATGAGCTCGAACTGTGACAAGAAGATTGCATTTGCTCTCTCATACTTCACTACGATAACACAACAATTATCCTACAAGGAAAGCATCTCGACTTATGAAAAGGAAGAGATGAAAATTACTCGATGGGATAAACCCTCCTAGATTATGGTACAAAAGGCGTTAAAACCCCATAGGAGCTATCAAGCTCGAAAAAGGGGGCTCGCCTCTAGTATTACCACTGTCGCTGAACCACAACTGGGTACTATATGTCAATCAAGCACAATGAAAAACTGGACAACTACATCAGGTCTTTTATAGCCATATACGTACCAAATATCAAAGCTACTGCTGCTACTACTAATAAGCACCGCTGTAACCACAGCTTCCACACAGATTGGCTCATATCATTCAACTGGAGTATCCTCCAGTAATACACCGTTGGATACACCAATGCTATCAATACGACAAAAACGGCACTTAGAAGGTTAACCAATTTATCAACGCTTGGTACTAACAATGCGATCAATACACACAAAGCAACGAGTGCAACTCGACAACAACAACGAACTACTTCACCCACGATGCGACTCTTCCACCTATTCGTATCGTGGCATTTCAATAGTGTATCGCTCAACTGCGCAGTAGGGGAGAACAGAACCAGAAAATGTGTACTGACCAAAACGATAGTGCTCACATTGATAAGCCAAGAATAGATTGTCCAATCTGATTTACTTTTGGGAGTAAAAGCATCAACCATCGTATCGAATTTGCTTATGTCATGACCGAAAGCAAGGTAACCCACAATAGTGATAACGAAATAGACAAAGGCGACGAGTACGAAAGAGATCCACGCAACTCGTGGGAAACGTTGAGGCCTTTGAACATCCTTAATAATAGTAGGGACAGTGATGCTGACGTTATAAGAGAGTAAAAAGGTACAGAAGACTGCTATGAGCTGCATTGGAGTACCAGAAAGTCTATATGTAACCTCATGTGTATCGTCATCATTCGAACCATTAACATATCGATGAACACTGGCTAAGACGACCAACACCACTATAGCAGCTACTGAGGCCACACCAAGTGCCGAGAGAACACCAACTTCCTTCATAGTAGGTAGACATGCGAATGGCGCTATCGCAAGGGCAACTATGAGTACCCATAGGTCGTATGATAGAACTCCTGTCATGCTGTGCATACTGGTGGCTAACAATATGAGGAAAACCGCACAAGCAGCAATGAGAAGTGGATGAAGTGTTATTGAATTCACAACAGTCGCAACTCTACCGTAGCATATTCGTCCTAGCTCCTCGAAGGACTGTATTGGACTCTTAGAGTCTTCCGGATTAAGACATAGAGCATGGCAAAGTAGAACCACGTTGTAATATACGAAAGCGGCAGCAACAACTAGCAAGATGCAACCACTGATCCAACCGGCTCTAGCAAAGGCCATAGGGAGTGTCATAATACCCAAACCGATAGCAGTCATGACCAAGTTGAAGACTGCCTTGGCATTAGAACAGCCATTGGGTACGATGATTTCCTCCCTGGAAAAGGAGACAAACGTCTTAGTAGAGCCTGTAGAGGGGGTGGGGAGCTCTGTTGTCATGATAATGTTATCCTCAGGAGGACCGGAAATAGTTAAATCTGACGAGGAAGTTGATTTTGTGAGGAGTGACCTTCGCTGTAGATAGATGCCGTTTGCGCTTAATTATGTCTCTCCCATTGACTCGAATGACTTGCGGAGTCGGAAAACTACGTTGAATATGTATTTAGAAACGGCGAGTAAAAACATTCAGCTGAAGACGGTGAAGACCTCGTCATGAATCTCCAACTCAGCCGCTTGAGTGACATAGACTCTCCCTCTACGAAATATACTATGATGTAGCGTGAGATCACCACCGAACCCTCCTATTGTACACCACATATTTTGATTTGCACGCATGCTCGACATCTATTTTCGCGCGCCATAAATTCCTCACAGATGTCTGTGCGGTTCAGCGCAGAGTACGGACTCCGTACTACGGAGCCCTGCTAACGTGGGATCACGCTATACCGCTAGTATGGTATCACTTCGTTACGGTTCTACTGTGTTAGGCCTGTTATATTGCTTTGTGCGATTCATGGTCTGTGCATGCGTGTTGTCTATTATTCCTGGGTTCCCTTATTTCATAGGTTTCAAGGTTGGTTCTGAAGTCCGTTCTCTGAATCTTCCCTTGGGGCCTGGACTTAGGCATAGGGTATACGGTTTCGTTATTGTATACCCGCTAGTGGCTACGCTTCTTTCAATAGCTGAGGGGTAGTATACGGTATTTGCCAAGTGACAGATATTGAGTTCAATAAGTTATTCACGGTACTGACTCGAAGGGGTAAGAGCTCTAATACTATAGTGGATTACACTGACCATCCTATACCGATGTCTAAGATTGCTAAGGTCAGGGGTTATGCCTCTCATAAGGTCCGTGAGAGGCTGTATCAAGTCAACTGACAATTGCCTTAGTCAATTGAGTCTGGTTTGGAGTCAGGTCTCGGACACTCTACTCCCTAATGGTGAGTCACCATGCTTTGGATCGCATGGCCAACAGTCCAGACCCTCGCGGAATCGCGTATGTCACAAGTATCTTCCAGTTGGCAATTAACTATTCAGCGATGTCCAATTTCAATGCAGACGATCATGGTTTGGCGCTTGGATTGTGAGAAGAACTCTGCTCTCGACCGGGTATATCTTTCTCCATGTAGCCAATATTGCGTTTGACGATACCTCAGTGCACAATATGAATATCAGAGCCGAACCGAACATGATATAGCATTGAACAGAGCTCGTTGAGGCCTTTCAAATGGTATCTTTTTTGTGTATGAACTGTCACGTGCCGCGAAGTTACGAAGATTGGGCCCTGTTTTGCACCACGCTGTCTAATGCGCTTCTACAGTTACCTACCACCTCATATGCAGACGTAAATTGTGGGGCGGCATCTCCGATCAGGCCACGTCGCCTGAAGTGGCCTTAGGGGGATCCTTCTCTTATCTGGTTCAGGCAACGTCTTATTCCCTCAACCCCTTGCTGTACGGCGAGTGACGACTCGGATATTGTCACGCCCACGCTCATAGGAAGAAACTTGGATCTTCCACGTACCGTTCTTATCATTATAGTAGGAAAAGGGCAGTAGCTCAACCCTACGTGTAGTCGCACGAGATGAGACTCTCTTCTAAGGCGGTTAATATCAAATTCCTCGTCGGGAAGTACATCAATAGCGACCTGGCCTCGTCGGCGCTCACTTCGTCGCTCTCACATCCCTCCACGCCATACGCGATGCAGAAGAGATCATGTGGACGATTTTCCGGTGGGATGGAGGATCTCCCAGGCTGAGAGTCTCAGCGCAGAAGCTCTTTATAGCCCCAATCGACTCGCCGGCCGGTTTCGTCCTTCCTGGGTTGTTCTCCTTGAAGGAAGAGCGAAGATCGTAAATTGCTAGGATAAACTTCTAGTATATGACGTTATCCTGTAGATCGCCCTCCTCGCGAAGAGCATGCACTATTGCTCGAGGCATGAAACCTCCTCTTGTCATGAATATCACTTTTTTCTTGACCTCGTTCTCAAGAACCGCCGGGCCTCGCCCAGTCTGGGGATTATCAGTGATAATTTATCACGTCTCTCATGGGCAGGGTGTTCTGCGAAGTTACTCGTGATCTCAAATTGCTCACCATCGCCTCGAGTCATTCGAGTCGAATGTACATAACGAAAGGGCAAGGTTGAAACTTAGAATGGTTTTCGCGATTGTGAGGGCAGCGGTAACGTATCGCTATTGGCAATAGCCTATTGCCCGACGTTCTTGGGGTAGCTCACATTACTCCGTTCCATCGCCGGACCGTCTGCGGGTAAGCCGCTGAGTTCAATCAACCGCTCTCGGGCTTCCCGTTCGGAGCAGAATTTCTGCAGTGTTGCGGCATGGTAGTACCATGATGGTACTCGCACCGGGTGCGACGCACCCACGCCCACGAATTCCGCGACTCCGCGACGGCTTTGGATCTTCATTCTTGAATCAGCCTGGACCTCGCTAGCCAGACCGGGATTAGCAGGGTTTGAGGCTTCAGCCCCCTGGTTTGAGGTCAACTGTCTAATCGCATCTTGTAACGACTTGATCGTGTTCGTCAACTCGTCCACAAGCTGTTCCATTTGAATCTAGAAAGAGCAAAAGACTGAAGGCGTGTCTCAATTTCATATTCTCGAATTGAGCACTCGAAAAGGCCTGATCACTGTGAGCAAATCGCTGATCAGGCCTCGATGCTCGCCTTATGTAGTGGAGCGAAGCGTGAACGGAGGTTGTTCTATAATGCCTGATCCGATAGCCGTGTTGTCACAACGTGTAGTTTAGTGGGTAGGGTAGTTAGCCGCGAGTTGCAAGGCCTGCTAAACTTGTCATGCTCGCTATTCGAAGCTGTATAAGATGCGGCCTTTCCTGTGATGAGCTCCCCGTGACTCGAACTCGCTCAGATTATAGAGTAAGGGTGCACCTGCAGCTATACAAACGCGGCCTCTCCAAAAGAAGCCGAAAAAATTGTGCAGGAATTTGGGGGGTGTAGCGGTAATTTCTGGGGCCGATGTCTCAAAATCGAGGGGGAATCCCTCTAAGGTGCGGGAAAGTGAGGGTCCAACTTTAGTTCCATGACTTCTAGTCTCTGGCTATCGAGATAGTCATGGGCGAGTGCTGCAGACAGCAATGCACATTGCTATGACCATATTCCAAACTTCAACCCAAGACTAAGCTGAGACTCCAGCTGCACCAATGATCCTGTCAGTTTCGGGAAAACGGGATCATAGGTCATGGATCAGCGAACTAAAATTGATAAGTGATATGATCACTTGTACGGCTAGTGAGGCGCTCAATCAAGGGGGCATATTCTCCCGCGTATCTGACGATTGTGCGATTCTCAAGTCCTTTGTAATATTTCATTCGACATAGGATCAGGGATTCAATCAACTTTCCAAATTAAAGATCTCACACTATTATATAGATATTATATATGTGTCAGATCTTTAATTGCATATACTAATATAACCTTTAATAGGCTATATACCTCAACGTGGTTCATCGTATTGTCTTTATCGTTGAATAATGAGGTACATAGTGAAACCATAAATTTGCATGCAGGAACGCCCAACAGAACTCAACCGAAGACCATGAGCAGAAACGTGTCAAACCACCAGGTTGCAGCACTAGCTGTCATGTTCATCTCTCGAATTCTCCTTCAATAACTGGATATGTCCACAGTCACCAACCATACAAGCCTGCACTCTCCCTTCTTTGCTGACCTCAATAGCGGTTACTGATGCAGGACTTAGCATAAATCGCAACCAGTACGAAGAGGGTAGCTGTAGTGCTCGACATAACTATGAAGGCAGGCACAGTGGCATTGCCCTGCATGGACGTCCAGGGACTTACAAAATATCGTGTCTGATTGCCATGCCCGACTAAGACATCAATACCAACACGCTCTTCATCTGTATCAGCATCATCGCTGTCGGACTTGATGCTCCGTTTCGATTTATTATACAGGACACGAGGAGGCTTGTTCGATAGTGATTGTGGTCTATCGAAGTACGTGCGGAACCTAGGACTGATGCTTATAGGAGGATCAGGGCATTCGAAATATCACTCACCCAGATTCCAGACGAGCTGTTTCCTCTGGGACTATCATGTCTGGTGTCAATGCCGATACGGCGGGATCCTGAACATGCACACCTTTAGGTTTAGCCAATCAGCTCATGTTCCCATGTTGAATGGTGAGGAATACACACTCGTACAAGTCTGTATGGTCGACAGAGACATGGCGATATCAAAGCTCCTCCAACTCGATGCTTTCCGCAGTTCGAGTCAGTCTATCACGTGACTTACTGGTAACTCGGGAAAGCCTTCGTCTAGAAGTGTTGTAGGTTCCAAGGCAACTCCCAAACGGGCGGCGATTATCTCAGCTGAAGACCTACATATAACAGCCCTAACGCGTCTACTTCTGCTGGGGGGATTGTGAATGACCAGGGTGAAAAATGTGAATATGGTAAACTACGCATATGGGGTGTGTTCTTTGAACACGTCTATCCAAGCGAAATCTCATAATGTGGTGAGAGTATATTCCAGCACTGTAACTCATGAAACATCACAACTCCCTTACGTCGCTTCTTGGGATGACGAATGCACGACCGCCCGGACTTTGCCGCCTGTTTGGGCGACTATTGACGCAATTCGCTCCGATGTGAGCACCATCTCTCTTTTGCCAGTGTTCGACAGCTCCATCTTGTCGCTAGACACGAACAACACTTTGTATCCGTTCAATTCAAACCGATCTACTTGTGTTTCTGAACTGTTCCGTGGCGTACCATGAGAATCAGCCTTCGATTGATGCACTGTTCAGTTTCCCACCTAAATGAACGATCTCATTCGTGCTTAGTGCATTGACTGTTATTGTTACCTTTTACGTTTGGATTTGAGAGAATCGTCAATCGCAGGTTGCACGAGCATGTCAGAATCATCTAGTAGCTCATAGGAGTCCCATTCTAGTGCAAAAAAATGTCAAGACCCGATTGCACTGTGAGCGGCCTACCAGGATCCCAACAGAAACCAGCCCGGATAGAGGCATCAATTTGCTCAAGATTTTTCAACACTATGTAGTCGTAAATAACGTTACCAACACCGATAGCTGAAAACACAAACTTCTGAATCAATTCACTGGTATTGTTGCTGACACAATCCGGTGAGTCCAAGAAGAACAGCGAAGCGCTTGAATTGCGCCTTATAGCTCGGCTTTTTTGTATGAGAGGTGTTGGTAATCACCGCAAAGCGGCGAGCAATGAATCGGAGCCTCGGATTGATGAACATAGCGAAGTGAGTGATGATACTATAAAAACTCCCAGTGAAACGAGTCATAAGAATTCACTGACATTTCCAATTCAACAGACATTAATTATTCAGTAATAAAGTGTTAACTGAGCACTTCATCTGGAAGCTGTTTGAGCTGTTGACCTTATAGTAATGGCATTGCCCCTACGAAAGAACTCCAAGTTTTTTCGTGGAAACAGAGTTACATTCGCTTGACATGGTATCATTAGATTACACGAGTCAGGAATGAAACGTTGATGGACCTCAGCCAGTTGACCCATAGGTTCATGAACTACGGGTAACGGCATAGATGAGGAGGTTATTAGTGTAATAATAAAAGGAGGCGGCAAGTGTTCTTCTTCTTCTTATTGATGTTTATCATCATCATTATTGCATTACCATCATCAGTCAATGTTGTATACGGTATTATTACGAAATCACCGCCGCTTATACTCTACATAATCATGTGGGTGGGGCGGCTATGCCACTCGATGATATGCCTCAATAAGATAAATTTCCCCAGGTGGGGCGACTATGCCACATGAAGATATGCCTCAATAAGATAAATTCCTCCACGTGGGGCGACTATGCCACACCACGATGCGCGTCACCAAATCTTCCGACGTTGCACATTATACTTGTTGAGATATTTCAGAGGCGGCTATGCCACAGCTTCAGACATGTCATGTCCAAATACTTCACTAAATTCACATCTCTATCACTACTCATCGAAAGCGGCGGCTTGTTGGATCTTGCACACTTAGGTATTCCTCAATGGGTTGGACAGGGGTAAGCATAAAGGCGGCTGGTGGTTACTTTCTCTTAGCGACCTTTCTCAAGCTCATACTATGAACTGCATCATCATAGGACCTCCTTGGGTGCGTAGTTGTTCTCGGCGTCGTTATATTTTCTGACAGTGTTGTGTGGTTGACACAAGGACCTCTCACGTGTTGATCATTCGCATGTCATCATCATCACCTTCAAGTTTAGCCACTGCTTCTACTGCCTCTGAGAGTAACATGAAGACGGGATTAAAGCAATTCCATCACCGATTAATGGAACACTGGATCCTCCCCGTGTTTGGTATCACAGCATACTCAGTAAGACTACTACAACTCCAATACTCAAAGCTCTTCCTTCCTATCAGATGCTGGGTACTGCTAGTCGTATTGCAATCACTGACGGCACCAAGGGCGGAGACTTCTTCTCCTCGTACAGCTATTTTGCCGCTAATTGCACCGGTTCACTTGTGATGGGCCTAATCAATGGTATACCTGATCTCAAGGCGAAGTGCCCGGGTTTCCATCACGGTAATGCTCTTCCCTATTCAGTGTGAAGGCTCATTGATTCACTTCAGGTATGACAGTAGGCTTCTGTGGTTGCTTCACCACGTTTAGTAGTTGGATATATGCTATTGTAAAATCTCCCACGCCTAGCATCGGAGCAGTAAGTTGTCGGGTGTCTCTCGTAGGTGTTGATTGCCCACTATGTGGAGATCTTAGTGTAGTGGTATTATTCGTGGCTCTCCTAGTCTGGGTCGTAGGTTCGAATCCTTCAGATTGCTTGCATGTGTTTAGGTTGAATTCTTCTCGGGCATGTCAATGCCATTCATATCGTGGCTCCTTGGTAATGATATCGGAGCAGTTTTTGTAGATCTCTATAAGGACCGAGAGCCTTGGTTCAGTGATAAGACTTGGTATCTCATTGACAAGGTAACGACTAAGCTATTGCCTGAGCCTTTATATGCATCATGCTGTATAGGTTCTCGTATTCTTCCCCTACGTCTTCACTGCTCTTCTGTTCCCTCTTATTGCCACTCAAGGGGTCTTCCCTCCCAGTAGCGTTTATGCTAGTTTGTTATCACCAATAGGAGCTGTTCCTCGATGGATCTCGAGTAGCTATCTCAACTCGTTATGGCCTCAGTTCCCACTAGGTAGTAGTTATACATAAACTAGTCTATTTCATATCCTCCTTCCTCATGCAGGTACATTCATAGCAAACTTGTTTGCTGTGGCATTCGACGGTATCCTCATGGGAGCTGCACCAGGCAATACCTTCGCTGCTTATTGTATTACCGGTAATAATAATAATGGGAGATCTTCGACTACCCACATACCGGAACTAGGAGATTCTTATATCGCGTAAATAAGTGTCGTGTAAAATGTTGGATAATGCGTCTTCAGTGTGAGATTATATGCACATGGTCAACTACATGTGTTGACGAGAACTTTTGGAAAGCCTGAGGAAATCTTGGGAAGTTTTTGTCGGTTTTTGTACATTTCTACTCGAAGTCGCGTGTAATATCAACAACGTAGTGAGGCAATTTCTGCTGAGCTCGCTTGAGGAAACCAAAGATATATCTTCCAATACTGTATATTCTATGAGTTTGAGGATTTAGGTATCGGTGGTTCCTGGTCTACCGTGTCGAGCTTTGTAAACGATACATTCAACCTCTATCGTAAGGAGTGGGAATGCAAGCGGAGCGTAGCTGTGAATAAATTCTGGGTCTACTGGTAATACTAGAAAAAGGGATATGACCAAAATGGGGTGTCTCTGCATTGTGTTTGCATAAATTAGCATCGCAAAATATGACAAAATTTTGGTATAAGTCTGTGCGGTTTTACGTTCTCCTTAGTGAATTTATTAATGTAGGTACCTTACAGTGTCGGTAGGCATAAGCTTATCTGTAGCGGCTATTGTGCATGCGTGCACCGAGTAGTCAGTATATAAGCATCTGCTACATAAGCTCATTCGCGACATAATATTTATCCTCCGTTATTGTTGTTGTTCCTCCTCTTCCTTACAACGTTATCTAGATCTGTTGCGCCTAACACTCATTCATTACGAATTGATTTCCGATGGTGTTAATGATCAAATTAGCAGATTATTGTTTGTCCCTATTGTCCAGGACTATTGGTAATGCCAATTGTTATTACCTCTTGTTGTGGCTTATAGTTCCAGAGGGTATTCATAAATCTGTAGTATTCGATGTAATATCAGATCGCTTTGAGTTGGTAACCATATAGGAGTTTGTATGTTTGTAAAAATAAATATGTTATCAATTCTGACCCTTGAACTAGCGCGTTTGATGCACAAGAATTAAAATGTCTATTGCATTCTGGCATTAATAAGAATCGATCTGGGACTGTATCGCATAAACAACAGTGAACACCGCTATAATAACGACAAGTTGGTAACTATCATTGGAGTTTCACCACCCTAGTGATATGATAAACACTAGTGAAAAATATATTTCACGACTACTGCATATCACCGCGAATATCGCGTTATTCACCGAGTTTTACGCCACTTCACGTAAAACGGGTGAAACTTTAATATATTCAACACCGAGTGATTAACGTGAAATTTGCCCCCTCCCTCCCTAGTAGTGGCGTTATTATTCACCTTGTACGAGTAGTCGTCAGAGGCGGTGTGCTTGTGAGTGACACTACTACTACCAGCTTGGGTGGTATGGATATCGGAGGAGAATAATGGATGTCTAGGCGTTGGATTGGAGGAAGTGTGGTCTGTACCAGCGTAAATTCGTTGTGAATTGAGTCTATGGTGACACGTAGAGTTGTGTTCTAGTGTGAATGAGATAAACTCACTTTTATTATTAATGAACAGAAGTGTTGTCAACGGTTGCTGATGATAACATATGATAATAAACAATCAGCATTCCGACTCATTTTACAGTTGTCTGGTTCTGTCTTCCCGAGAGCTGTACCTGCAGGCCTTGTTGCCGCCGGAATAGCTCTGTGTAATACACTGAGCATATCAATAGTGTTGTGCAAAATGATGGTATGAGTTTCCAATTTCCGCAGTTGTCCTAACGTCATCATTGACACTTATTATGTAATTATGGAAGTCTCTATGGTGAATCAAACCGGTACTGTGAAAAGTCGACTTTTATTATCATCAACATAATAACAATGTGAATCGATTCACCAGCGTTTACTAGTCTATAGTCGTATTCTCAACAACAGTACGTTGCATAATCGTTCGGTTACGCACACACGTTATAATTATCATTTTCATCCTCAGGTCTAGGCCTCGATGCTCTGCCATTTTTCCAACCCACGATTGACCATTCATTCGCTGTCCAAATCTTTGCCATCGTGTTAGGCTATGTTATTGTATTTCGAACCAACATGGCTCTTGGCAGGTCGGCTACTGTGATGGGCTTTTTCACTGTCATTTTATCACTCAGGTACAGAGAGGGAATCACAAGTGTTGAAATAATGGTGTCGAAGTGGGCTGATGCATTCATGCAAATCAACGCTTTTATTAACGTCCGGCTGAGGACGGCCAAGGGCGATTCCGAGCTGGTAGAGTAGATGTGGGCGGTTGTTCAACACAACATAAGATGTGTAGAGGATTTATACCAGAACTTGGGTCTGCGTGCGAAAGTAGCACGCAGACGCACAGCGGTGCATGAATTTTGTCACGCGCCACGAAATTATTACGAAAATTTTGACGGTGTTTTCGTTGATGGAAAATATGGAACATTTCTGTATTGGAATGTAGAGTATTGAGAGTGAGGATGCGTTGAAGTTGGTACTTCGAACGTTTTAACGCACTTTTCCGGGCGAACGATGATGTCGGCATACCAATTGAGATATGATCTGTGTTGCCTGAATACCGCACCTCCCACAATTCTCGTTTAAATGATCCGCCGTGTTATTATCAAATTACGGTAATTCGGGATTAATGTATCTGAGCTCGTTTTCACATGCTCAAATCTGGACCTGTTTTGTATCTTGTTCGGGGGAACCTAAGATATTCTTTCTCCCCCTCGTCTCCTCTTCAGGAATCGAAGTTGCGTTCTTTACGCTTGGACGTATTACACTGGTTCAGCCTTCTGAGCGGCATCGCTATGAATGAGCTACAAAACCGCGAAGTGAATTCACCAGCCTCCGTCGTCCCCTCAGCCCCTTATTACAGATAGACCTCGTCAATGGTTTTGACTACCGACCGTTTGAGAAGACTAAACATTTAGGAAGGAGGACGTTCCTGTTGGGTCGGCATTTAGGACGGAACACGGCGCCACGACGAGGGTCGCTGCTAATGCCAAGGGCTAGCGTTATGATGCTACACCCTAGAGGTGATTTGGAACTTGGATTCGATCAAGGGAAGTGTAGCATGTTCTCAATCGAGTTCTTTACTACATCATCATTTGCAGCTTCGGGCAGTTTGAAGGGAAAATATGCACATGATCAACTAGATGAAAATTCTGGGAGAAAATTATTGTTGGTATCTCTGCACTTCTACCCGATTTCGTATAAGAACTCGATTGAGGAAGGCGAGCATATACTCCCATCCTGTCGAACACGCGTGTTGATAATAATGATGAGAATTATCGTTGCTTTTCATACACTTTCACTCCAAGTCGCCTGTAATTTTCCCATAATGTAACTTTGGAAACTCCTAAATTCTGTTGAGGAACTGATCTAATCTGCTGATCCCCACCAGTTTGAACATTTCAAATTCTCTCCTACCCCCTACCCATGCATCTTATCCATATCAGGTCACTCCCCCTCCAGCTCTGTAACAGCTTATAACATATCTCGCTTGGCCGTTCTGGGCGAATGCTCTAGTGAGGAGGTATACTCAGTGTTTGATCATGTTTGCCCTCTCCACTACATTGATAAAATTCCCCTCAATTCAGGAATCAGCATTTTCTGTATTGTCCTCCAATTCTGTGGAAAAATCTTTCTGAGGAATATTCCTCAGCTGAGTTCAGGGATTTTCTCACTAATTTCGGAAGTTCACATATGAATTCAGGTGTGAGTGTAGAGAAACCCATGAGAATTTCCTCGATTTTTCTCCCAAAATTTCCGCGAATGTCACCATATGCATATTTTCTAACCCCGGATTCAGGTTCGTCGTCTAGATGTGTGCACTTCCAAAGGGATGGTAGTTGCGAGATGGATTAACGAGGCGGTCTCTCGCAGTTGCCTCGATGCTATCATTACTGTACGCCTTTGTGTGGCTTATGTGTTAACACAGATTAGAAATAGATTGAATCAGGAGGAAGTCTTTTTATCTGACTCGGCTTTGCTCGAGCCTCATCTACACCGTTTTATGTGCGCTGTGCGCAACATCATCGCACAGATACTTTCAAGGGTGTCGGAGTTTTCTTGATGGTCTTATTACTATACGCCTTATCTTGACTGCCTGTATGAACTCATGTTATTAATATAGTTCGGATTCACATTGTTATTATGTTGATGATAATAAAAAAGACTTTTCACAGTACCGGTTTGTTTCACCATAGAGACTTCCATAATTACATAATAATGCCAAAGTGCCAATGATGACGTTGGAACAACTCCGGAAATTGGAAACCCACCCCATCAGTTTGCCCACTGTATAGGTCCCGCCGCCCATCCTTTCAAGATGCTATCAAGAGATTTCAAATGGTATGTTAGGATTCAACCAAGCCTTCAAAGTACCAGCAGCAGCAGAGTTCACCATTGAGACGGCCGATTAGGTCACGCTCGTGCCGTTCCCTTTCCCATTCGCACAACTGATGGCATTGCTTTTATTGGTATTTATTATAATATGCCCGATAATGGTTGTGAAGATGACAGTCGGTGAGGTCTTGCAAAAAGATGAGTTTTTCTCACGATTGATGACAGGAAAAATTTTATCACCGATTTTGTCGTTTTTCGCGGTACTCGGTTATTGGGGGCTGAACCAGATCGCAGTAGAACTCGAGAATCCATTTGGTGACGATGAGAACGACTTACCATTGGAACATGTTCATACAGTTAATGGAAAAATACCCTCACCGGGGATCGAACCGGCGACCTCTTAGGCCTTCGTTGATGGAATACATGACTGCGCGTTTGCTGGTCTTGCGGAAACGGAGTTCACCAAAACTAAGAAGAAACCAGAAGAGAGTATTTCTTGAGTTTGTCGCAAACTTCACTCCTTTGAAAATTCAGGTTCATTGATATCTTCCTCAGTTGGGCACAAACCGTCCATGCGGGCTCGAGCAGCTTGTGAGAAAAGAAAATTATTGCTCGTGTTGGGCATTTTTATCATAAAATTTTCGGAAATTACTAAAATTTTGCGAAAAAAATATTTTTGTGAGTTCAGCTGCTTCACAAAAGCCTTGATGTTGCGGATGTCAGGTGACCCTCTACTTCTTGATCTCAACCGAGAATTGTCCTCCAAATGGGGAGCCTCTCGCGAAAGCCTATTTTCGACCCGTCTCAAGTTCCGTGATTTACTCCTCTTCCGATACGATGATCTCAAGAGGAGGTTCAGCAGTGATAGAATGGCGAGAGAAGTTCTTAGGTGAGATTTTTATTAGCGAATTGCCCATTGAGATAACACTACATTGGATATAATTGCAGAACAATACTTTACTAGGCATTTTCGTACTTAATATCTCCATCATAAGCTCAGCTGAGGGATTCTCTCACCCGAGATAGCCACTGTGTGCTTAGGGGAATCGGGATGATGCAACAGCATCCTCCACTTTGAATTTAGTACTCGAAAATCGATGATTACACCTGGGCTTAGGGTGATGTTGAGTACACAAGGGTATTCCTATGCTAGCAGTGTTTAGCAAAGGAGGAGAACTCTTCACGTAGAGAAAGCATTGATTACTTATTAATACTTTTTAATCAATCCATTGCTCGAGTATTATACTCTTTGCTACATTAACATCGGGAAAATATGCACATGTTCAACTACGTGCATTGGTGACAATACGAGGATACTCGGAGAATATTAGGACATGTTGTTTGTTGTTGTACACCTCCAACCGAATTCGTGTACAGAACTCAGCTGAGGAAAGCGAAGACAGATTATTCCAACACCGCTCCACCTTGGATCAAGCATCACCGTCTGTTGTTAGTCGTATACGCATCCTCGCAAAGAAACAAGGGGCGGCGAGTCCGAGGCCGCTGATATTGAGAGCTATTCAAGAGCAGTCTTCAAGCAATGGCAGGC